TGTTGCTGGAGGTTTTTTTTGCTTTGTTTTGGGGTTTCCTTTTAAGTTTTCTTTTTTTCCTGGTTATATTGCTCCCCCACAGTTCTAACATACCAAGTACAAGCTCTGCAGCAAATATTATGTGACATTTTATTTAGTGGTCTAATGATGCCTCTCTCTCTTTCCCAAGCAGCAAAAGGTAAATCTTGTCTCAGCACTATAGAAACAGAATTTCAAGGGTTCTTACAGTGGTGATAGTACTTAAATTTACAGAAGCTCTGGTATGTACCTGAAACGCATTTTATTCTGCCCAAGGTATAGATTCAGTACTGGGAAGTTCACTGTTGTTTCTAATTGTCAGCTACTGATACATTTTTCTTGCCTGCAGCTATCCAATTAAAATAGCACCACTACACAAAATATTGTAATATATTCGATGTCCTAACAACAAGAGCCTCACACTCTTTTTCTATCCAAGAATTTCCTCCTAATTGGGTTTCTAGCATATTAACAAGTGACAAGGAAGAACAGACACATGCAAACCAATAATGCAGCCTTCAAACACCTTTTCCTATTGCTGGGCAAAGTTCTGTGGAGATACCCCTGGTTGTTGTGTATATCAAAAGAGAGAAAAAACAGAAAGAGAGAAGAGAAAAAAAGCTCAACTCCAGCAGTGGAAAACATGTAACTTGTGCCCTGAGATATTGCTATGGCAACATTTAAACAATGAACAGAAAGCCCTGCAGTATTCTGCTCTCGTATTCTGCTTTCACTTCCTTGGATACCAAATGTAAATCCCAGTTCTCTTTTACTGTGTGCATGCACAAGTGTCTGATTTTTGACTTTTCCTCTAACAGATAGAGAGGTACCCAGGCCTCCTACCAGGAGCTGCACGTTAATTTACTTCCATGTATTGCAGCTTGTGAATATCAAATAAAACATACCACCAGCACACTCATCCTCCCTCTTGCATCCCAATTTCTATCTCCCAAGAGAAGAGATTGTGGGGTGACCGTGATAGTACAGCTAAATAACAGGTACCCTTCCTTTCTCAATAGCATCATTTAATAATGGAGAGGTTATCATAAAATAATTTGGGGAGTGGAACTAGATGATCTTTACTGTCCCTTCCAACCCAAACCATTATATGGGTCTTTGAAATAAAGCACTCCAAAGCGCCACAAGCCAAACCCCAATGTCTTCTGTCACTACAGAAAGTGGAGGCAGGATCCTTTCCAAGGATCCACACTGTTAGACTCAAGCATGCTACAAGGCTGTTTCCAGAATACCATGGCTCCTGCTGTTACTAAATCCTTCTCATCTGGGTTGTCCTCTGGGGGCAGCACTTTATAGCTGAAGAAAGCTTGGTTTTCATTATGCTTTTCATAGAGCAGCTGGCTACAGGATGGATAGGGATGCAGAAAGAGGGGCCCTGCTAATAGTAGCCCAAAGTTCAGTAAGCTTGACTACTCTAGAAATGACCTGGAGGGTGCTAATCACATTTCTTCAGAGTCATTTTCCTCCCAGACTGCAAATGGCACTAATTCCAGCACCTTTCTCCCTCTCCTTGTTCCCCCACTAGCAATCAGGAGCAAAGGGATATCCCCAAGCCAAGATGAAGGCACATTGGTGAGACCAAGGTGGAGTTTCTTGCAAACTGTTGCTGCGCACAGTGCATTCCAGTGAATATACTGCAGCTTCACTCCTCAGGCTTGGGAGTTTCCACCAGCACAAAGCTCTCTCAAAATGTGCTAAAATCCTGTTCTGAGACCCATTCAAAACCTTCCTGTCTCATATTGCTACAGCAAGAACCTTCATGTCAAATGGGAGATGTTTTTCTAGGTAAATAATTTTAAACCCTATATGTAGGAAGCCATATAAGTACCTCAGGAATCCCCTTCTTTTCCTTCAGCACCACATTATTGCTTGTATTGGCTCACATCTAGAGCACTCTTTCATGGATATTACCCAATCTGAAAGTGTATTTTTCACTCATCAGTGCTTATCAGGCTGGGATATACTGTGACATAAAAGTTGCTGCTCCAGAAAACTGAACCTGCCACTATTCTAGATCAGTGCAAGTCATTCCTGACATGTGAAAAGACACTGACTAGCTGCCCTATTGCATTACTAACTTACAGTTTGCCAAGAATCTCTGACCTTCTGGAGAAAAAATCAGAACTAATGGGGCAGGCCCCTCAAATGCAGTTTTCTCTTTCCTTCTGTACAAGAGTTTGGTGCTTAAATATACACATAAAGGTTCTGTGTACAGTTCCAAAATGCCAGCTCCTGGGGTCATTACCAAAAGGATGGTCAATGATTTGAAGAGGAGACAACCCAGAGGACCAGCGTATACTGCTGGATGATAAACCTATGCTCAGGCACATTAGAAGGGAGTAGCCAGCTGTTGCCTATGATTGAGGAAATTTGCTGTTCCTCATTCAACTGGACAGTTTGATTGACTTCTTGGCTGTTTCCTTTATGGTCAGCCCTTTGGGCTCTGGATAAGCCCCAGCACAAATGATGAAAAATACTATGTTCATTCCCACTTTGCCATACTCATTCCATCCTTGAGGCTGAATGAGTTAAACTCTTGGCTGTTCCATGCATCTTTTGGCTACTGTATTAAGTGAATGATTCACTGAAGTGTGAAACTGTTGCCTCTTTAGAAGCAGACATGCATCCTTAGCTTCTTGATGTCAACAAGGTTTGCCTATTTCAGTCCAAACTGGCAGGTAAATTTTGCCAGTGCTTCCTTATCTCATCAAGCAAATCCTCCTGTTAGTTATTGCACCAAAATCAATGAGGCACCTATGGAAGCTTTCCATTGTCAAAAATAGGAGTTGCTCTATCAAATCTATTGTTTACGTGTTCACTTGACAGGAATCCAGGGAAAAGCTTAGAGATGCCTCTTCCTTAGCCAACTTCTTTTTCCTTCAGTAATTACTGAGCAGCAGCTTAACACAAATTTAGCTGCTCTGTTACTGCAACTGCTGATGTAACCGCAGCCCACTACAGGGCACAGACCTATGACGATACATGAAGGAATGGAGACCAGAGTTTCGCACTTATTTTCAGATGCTGACAAACTTATTACCCTTTTAGTGTCCCACCAGAAAATATATGCCCAGAGAAATAAATGAGGTCAAAGCACTTCATATTAAACTGATTTAGCTATACTGATAAAGATGAGAGCAATTGGAGCTGGAAGGAACAATTTTTTGCTTTGTCTGCTCCATCTTTTTCTAAACACAACAGCACAAGGGGTCCAATTTGTTTGTGTAGCCAAAGAAAAATTCCCAGAAATTTCTGTGGGAGCAGAATTGAACCCTAAATCTTAATCCTTTACAAGTAGCCAATGTTTAAGAGGCATGACCTCCAAACAGAAGTTCATGGGACACATTTGGGAGTCAGGTCTCTTTTCCATCATGCCAAAAGATTTAGGACATTTACATGAAGTTGCAGTAGAGTGAATGTGTGGGTAAAGGTGGGAAAAAGTAAGATGCTAATATTTATGTATTTATCTAGGGAAGCTGGAGTTCTGGTTTGCATTGTTTCATGCAGGAAGCTTGTGGAAAGGGAAATGCTGCCAGAAAAAGATGCTAAAATACAGCTCTACTAACACCTTTCCCATCCCTGCATCCTCTCCCCTCCTCCAGAATATTGCAGCTTGAGGAAAGTAAAATCAGTGGCAAAGCTAGTCCTGCACCTTGCCTGCCAAAAAATATCCATATCTGTTCCATAGCTAATTTAATTATCTATTTCTCTCTCTTGTTCTCCACCAGTTTCAGCCTAATACTTTTAGCTAGAGACTGTGCATGTGAAAGCAAAGGTTGAGAAGAGCAGAGGTGAGAGAGGAGAGAAGGGAAAGAAAGGGAAAGAAAGAGAAATAAAATTCCGTATTTGCAAGGTAAGCAGTCATGTCAGGAAAGGGGACAGAAGTAGCACTATTCCCCATGGGAAAACAAGGACCTCTATTTGAAACACTGTGCTATCTTCCCTTTATTCCACATCCGCACACAACATTTCTCCAAGAAGAAAAGACAGAGACATTTACTGGTCTGTTACACATCATTTCTTATCTGTGAACCGCACCATCTACAAGCCACTTTTAATGGCTTTTTGTTATTATCAGCATAGTAACAAAAACCTCCTAATAGCACAGTATCCTCTCACTGCTTGTCAATCCAAGTAAACCTCCTTTAACTACCATGAAAGTCCATTGGGAACCTGAAGGATTCACCACAAAATCACAAAGAATTTCCTAAGAGATCTGGAGGGCATGAGTGGCTAGTACAGTTTTCTAAACTACCCTTCCATAAAAGAATGTTTTCTCCCTGCCTGTTACTGCTTTTTCTTTAGCAATGAAGTGTAAAACATACCATTTCTCTGAGAGCTGCCTCCTCAAAATCAGAAAACCCCTTGCCCTACACCCCCCAATTCCACCAAAAGCCATCCTTCACCTCCCTGCTTGATTATCATTTTTTCCTGTTAATACACTATATCGATCTGCAATGCCAGACTGGATGCCAGCATTCAAATCACAGTCTTTCTGTATTTGAAACACTTACTAAATAAACAAACCAGCCTCCTCAGTGCATCCAATTCTATGCTACTTGCATCCCTTTGTACAGACTGGGCAACCAGACAGCACCCCCCACTCACTGCAGAGGTTTTCTCCAAAGATTTCTTTGCTAGTGAACATTTGCAAATGCTATAGAGCCATGCAGGCAGGCATCTGCAGCATCTTACCAAGGCTGCAGTTTTACTAACAGGAACATTTGAACTACTGTGATAATTCAGTTCTGTCCTCATTCCTTCCTTTCTCCCTTCTCAACCAGCACCCCCCCCACCCTGCCAATCCCACCCCCCCACCCCCTCCGCAGACATTATCAAAACCTAGCCAAATGTTAATTCAGCTGGGGGAGAAAGACCAAGAAAAGAGGGATAAGGAAGAAAGAAGAGAGGCAATGGGGCATATGTATTTTCCCAAAATATTATAAAAAGGAAAGTGTACTTACTGTATCCTCAAAGATTACATAGCTGGAATTCTGAGTGGTTACGAAAAAGCAGAGTGGGGGGCAGGGTTAGAAAACTATTTCATTTCAGCAACCAAACCAAAATTAAAACCAAGAAAGGACATAAAAATAAATTATATCCAATTGCAATTTCCCAGGAATTTCAGTCCATACAGGTGCTAATCCAACCCAACACTGCTGAACTCTTCCCCCTTCAGCAATTTTGCTTTCTTCTTTTCTGTCCTTTATTTTCTCTGTAGCTTTCAACTTTTCTGCCTAGAATTGCTGTAGTGGTAACATCGATGTTTGCCTTCAGTGGAGAAGAGTGGTTTAAAATAACAGGAGAAAAAAATCAAAATCCTTGCAGAGGATGAATGGTCCTCCTCCTTTCTGAAACTTTTCATTCCACAGTGGCTTTTTTGCCTAGTTTCCTTTTTCGGATGTTTTCTGCCTCTCTGGTTCCACTGCTCTCCATTGCTCGCTATTTGTTTTTTCTCTGGAGAGCAGAAAGGGCTGTGTTTCTTTTTAAGCAATGCCCATCTGTATTTTTTTAATGTAATTTTGTTGTGACACTTAAGATCCAGGTCTTGCCAAGCAATTTGCTTCTTCCCCTTTCATTGCTGCACTATCAATTATCCAATCCATGTGTCTCCACATTAAAATGGGGATTCCCATTCTTCTTTTTCTCTGTCCTCCACACTCCTTTAGAAAAGAACCTCCTTTTGCATTTAATTTTTCATTTGTACCTCTCAAAAAGATAAAATTTTTGTCTCTCTTCCCCCCTCTTCAAAAATCTGATTAGATTTCCAATCACAACCCAGTGCGCAATAGAATTTTTTATTTCGGCAAGAAGCCAGCAATCCACAGCATCATCACTCTCGCCTTGCTTCAAACTCCACGTTATATCCTTTCGCCTTCCCTTCAACTCCTCTGCATTTTCATAATCTCACATTTAATGGAGCTAGGTATGGAGGGAGTAGAGAAAAATTCAAGGTTCCCACCAGCTGTCAAGAATAAATCCATCACCTTGTTATTTTTTAAACACTTGGGACAGGTGTTTTGAACACCCCCTTTCCCATTTGCCCCACCTCTTCTCAAAATCCTCCTGATGTTAAAACTCCCCCAATGGGGCACAAAGGAAGCCCAGGGAGGCGTGATTTTGTCTTCTCAGCTGTAAATTTCGTAAGCACCCTTTGCTTTTCATTTCAGCTTCCTCTTCATCTTTTGTCCAGCAGCTATACAGATCCAGCAGCACCGAGACGGATAAACTTCTATTTCATCTTTGAGGAGAGAGAGGAAAAGAGAGACAGGAAGGATAAAAGCTCTCCAGTCTCAGCCTCCCTTTTCCTCCCTTTCTCTATTTCAATGCAGGTCTGATCTCATTTCCAGGCTCAGCCTGGTGTTTTTCAGATGTACAAGCTAGATTCCCCTTCCACACAGCAGTGAGTTACTCTCCCATCTTCTTCCACATGCCAGTTATCTTCCCTCTTGTCTTCCTTCCTTCCTGCCTCCCTCCCTTCCAAGATGACACGGTACCAGCAGTGCAGCCGCTTCTTTCAGTTTTCAGTTTCATCCCTGAAATGCACAGCCCTTTGCACAGCTGAAACCCTTCCTCCCTCCCATCAGCTTCAGCTTCAGCCTGAATTCTCCCTGTGTGTGCATGGATGTACGCATGTGTGCATATATCCAGTTCTGACAGCTGCTGCTGTTGCTGCTGGGAGTTGCTCAGCTTCTTTGTCTCTTGGCTTTCTCTGAATCCCCACCTTTCAGTGCCACCCTAGGATCTGCAAATGCCCCAAGGCCAGACTTTCTGGTATAATCTTCCTTCTCCCCTTCTTTTCTCTCCCCTTTTTATTTTTTATTTATTTTTTATTCTTTTTTTTTTTTTTTACCCCTTCCGCCTCTCTCCCCCCTTTTCTTTTCTCTGCTTGTGATCAGTAAAATACAATTAACCAATTACCTCCCATCATCTTAGCACTGATTGGTCGAGTGCATTAACACTTGATGTCAGGGAAAGAGAAAGCGAGCTGCTCTGACATGGCACTGCTGCCACCTGGTGGACAGTCTGGGAACAAGCTCAGGGTTACCTTAAGTTAGAAACGAATTCAAAAACCAAGTGAACATCTTCAGGTATGTCAAAACCCATTTTCTTAAAAGCTTGCCTGATTCTGACAATTCAACCAGTATACACAAGTAGCAGCCTAGCCACTGACGCAGAGGAAATGGCAGTAATGCCCCATTCTGACATGGTTTAGTGGTCATCTTGGCAGTCCTAGGGCAATGGTTAGACTTGGTGAACTTAGAGGTCTTTTCAAACCTGGTTGATTCTGATTGTATGATCCCTGGCAGTGTTCAAGGCCAGGTTGGACAGGGTCTAGAGCAACCTGGATGCACATATAAGTTACCTAACCCTCTAATTTGGTCAGCTGTTCAAGGACAAAAGCCCTATAAAGCACTTCAGGATTTCAGTGGGTTTACATGATGTCTCCAGTGACCTGTTAAGTGACAGCAACACAACAGTACAATGTCTCACCTATCAAACATGCCATAGTTTGATCAGAATGACTTCTGATCAGTCTTTTTAAGATTTCTAGCCTGATTCCCTAATTTGGGCCAGTAAAGTACTGACATGCTATGTACTTACCTGCTTACTAAGGTATGTTAGATGTACTTCTGTATGTTACCTAAAAACTAAAAATTGGGCTTGTGTCCTCTTCTTTCAGGGACCTAAATTCAATAGAAATTTTACAGAAAGCTTTACATGTACAAAGGTAGATACACTACCCTTTCCAAGATCAAGGGAAACAGAACATGGATGATGTATGTGCTGGCACTTGGCTCTCCCAAAATCAGAAATTATTTGTAGATCTAACTCCTCCACACAACCCCAAAACCAGAATGACAGGTGCTTTCATGGTAATTCTAACAAACCTCATATATTAAGCAGTAAGTCAGAGTTATTCCATGCATGCAATAACAGAGCTAGCTCTCTCTGCTCAGTCCTCTCTCAAACAGCCAAGTTATGTTGGTATCCTTACTTAGCCTTCAATTTTGGTGATAAATCAGCATACTTAAGAATAAAAGGAATAAATTTTTTAAGTTAAATGTCCTAAGTTTTTTTTCTAGACTCCATAAGCCAGCTGAGTTCAGTCAAATAGCACTTACTGAATCATTAGCATTGACTTTTAGATTTATTCTACTGACTCAGCAGTCTTCCTGGTAAGAAAGTTCTACCAGATGTAAGTTAAGCAACTGGAACCAGGTCATTAATCAGTTATATCATTTAGCATCTGCTCTTACTATCACTGCCGTCAGTAGCAAACACAACTGACCTAAAATGGGTGAAAAACTGAGTGTGTAGTAATAATGAATAACCGAAACATAATGGTATTTCAAGAATGCTGAAAAAAAAAAGTTGTTTTTGGTTTTTTTTTTCAGAAGGCTGCAAGTGGGAAAGGAGAGGAAGTTGCTGATAAGTAACAATCTTTTTCTCAGTTGGTGAGTTTATTTTGTTCCCATCTGATTCACTGACACTGCTGGTATATTTTGGGCCTACAAGCGTATTATGAGAGTCTTTTTCTTTTTAATACCTAAAATCAAAAAAAACCACAAGGTTGTTCCTTTTCCCAGAAGGATAAAAACACCATAACACCTAATATATGGTTGCTCCACTGTTTCTTTAAAAAGTGCTTAAACAACTCCCTGCTAATATTGAACAGCCTGCAAGCAAAAGTGAAAGTTTCTGTAACTGAATTAGACAAATATATGGGCATCAAAACCAGAAGACACACAGCTTTTGGGGATCTAATCAGAATCTAAGACACAAGCATTTGCAGTGCCTACAGTAGCATATCACTGTGGATACTAATACTTCACTTTTGATGGAAATTTGCACATTTTGTATTGTTTATGTCTTTCAAATGACTTCAAAATACACATTTCTAACATGCAATACTTCAGTGAATGTACATATATATAAATATAATGTATTTGCTGCACAGATATAACTAAAATAGAATTATTATTGAGATGATATAATGCTGTAGGCTATCATATAATATCAAAGTTTCTTATTTTTAATATCGCAAGTATGCTTTATAACATAAATATACACTGATAGAGCTTCTTGGAACATAACTTTAAAGCAATCTGATTTGTGATATTTGAGGTGACACTGCATACCATATGAAAAGGTAAATATTATTCTATTAAACAAAACAAAAAATAGAATTCTATAATCTGTTTCAAAAGCATGCATGACACCTATGTGTGAAAACTATTATAAACAAATATTTTAATATTATCACAGTAAGTCATTTGCTAATAAAATGTTAAAAGAGTATCTTTAGCACTGGGTAGGATTGATTGTGTGAGACTTTTCCTGCATTACACTGAACCTTGTGTTCACCAAATAAGATTGTTTGTATTCTGCCTTCAATCTTTTATTTTGCAGGTCTTCTGGGCAAGAATACTAATTCCCTACATGTCAGTTCACAAAAAAAATCCAACAGGGTGAGATAATATTCAAAATGAAAGCATCATAGAAAACTTTGGATGACACAACTGACATAATGTTTTACAAGCACAGGCAAGGTGAGACAGAAGAAATACCCTGGGACCTTTTGTTCAGGTCCTAAACTAGGCAATCACTACCCTTCATGCTGATTCCCCATTACTGGGCACACTTAAGCGGACAGCAGGTGTTAAGAGCAGCCTGGGACCTGCATACACTCCTGCAATGGTTCCAAATGCCAAACATACAGTCGCAAATGCATGGTGGAGGGTTCTGCGTCCTGGTTGCTCTTATTCACCAAGATCATCATGAATCCAAAGGATGAACTGTGAAGAAAACTAGACACAGACCAGCAAGTGAACTTTGTTTTTCATATAATGGGAAAAGCTTGCCTGATCAATCCCAAGTATGAACTGATAACAAAAATCAGATGTTATATCTTCACATACCAAATATGGACAATAACAGACTTTTATAGCACACCTTTTCCTTCTTGATAGATGACGTGAGTTAAAGAACTGAAATTCTGTGTGTGATTAGCACTGGAAGAGACTAGTGGAATACTAGACGTTCACAGTTGTCAGTCATTTGGTGGAAGAGAAATATGACTTAAGCCTAAGAAAATAGAATTCTGATGTGTAGGTAAAGGAGTAGAGAAACCTTAAAATTGAATAAACATAACCAATGTTTAAGAATGGAAGCAGACCATTTTACTTATACAAAGTAAAGTGAAAAGCAGTTTCAAGCTTTTCCAAGTCAGTGACAGCCCTGCCTTCCTTTTAAGCAAACATGAAAGAATCATAAAGGAAGCTGTGGAATGTACTATTACTTCTATTTTTTTTTAAGCATTGCTAACAAGAAGCTGCTCACATATGGAAGCAATACTCAAATACTCTTTTAGCTAACTGCTTTCAAAAGGGGACCAAAAAAAAAGCTGACAAACATATTTTTGACTGCACAGATCTAGGATGAAGCTCCCTAATCAATTTACGGATTCAAGACAGATCCTAAAAATCTGACTATATAAACCACATCATACATAATCTCACAGCAAGACTGATTTTTTGTGATGTAATTGAAGTTCATGGTATGTACTTTCCTGTATATGCGATTTCACTGATTATTGTTCATTTATTTAATAGGAAAACCACTAAAATCAGATGCACACCCATCAAAATCAGCAGTTGACTATAATACTGCTGCATTTATTAATCTCCACATATTTTTGTTCTGATGTTTGCAGTTCTAGTGAGCAATTCTGTTTCATAGGTAATTTTTATTGGGTCACAGAGGCTTGGAAGATGTAAAAGGAAAGATACACTCCATTCAGGAAACTCTAGGTAAACCCACAGCATATGTGACTTTGACACACAGAATTTTAAGTCACTGTTCAATAAATTCATACCTCTGTAATATCATAATATCTATTGTTTCTGGTAAAGATGGAAATGGATGGTGATTTGCATTAAGTTGCTTACATTTGAAAGTAACCATAATCTCAGAACTTCTGTATGTTCATTGTTCCATCAGGTTAACAGGACAAGTTTAGGATTGTTCTACAGTTGGTTTATAGATTTTCATCTTCAATGTTAAACAATATATCACTGAAAAGCAATATGTTATTTAGAAAGATTTCCTAGAATTTCTGCTTACAGAACTAAAACCTGTACTGTCAGTGTTTCCTTTACATCAGAGACAACTAATTCATCAAGCTGAACATGAGCCAGCAACATGTCCTTGCTGCAAAAAAGACTAATGCTATCCTGGGCTGCAGTAGGCAAAGCATTACCAGCAGGTCAAGGGACATAATCCTTCCCCTCTACTCAGTACTAGTGAGGCCACACCTGGAGAACTGTGCCCAGTTCTGGGCACCCCAGTATGAGAGATACATGGACAGGCTGGAGAGAGTCCAGCAAAGGGCAATGAAGATGATGGGCTGGAGCATCTCTCCTATGAGGAAAAGCTGAGAGAGCTGGGACATTTTAGCCTGGAGAAGGCTGAGGGGGTATCTACATCTATGTGAAGGGAGGGTGCAAAGGGGACAGAGGCAGGCTCTTCTGAGCAGTGCTCAGTGACAGGATCAGAAGCAAGTGGCACAAACTGAAACACGGGAGGCTCCCTCTAAACATCATAAAACACTTGTTTACTGTGAGAGTGACCAAGCACTGGCACAGGCTGGTGGTCTTTTTCTACCTTTGATCTTGGGATTATGAACATGGCATATATATATATGTATATATGTGTGTGTGTGTGTAACTAATGTTAGAATTTTAATGAAATTATGTCCCTACCAA